GGGGGGGCGAGGAGGACCCCGGGGGCGGAGCTGGGGGGGGGGGGAGGCTTTCATTTGACACTAGAATGGTGTACCTGGCAAGCCAAAAGTGGCCCGATATTGTTGTAAAAATAGTCAAAAGTATATAGATTACTCAGAGTATCAATGGATCTTGCTCTATTGGAAAGAAGAGATTTCTTTGCTTTTAAAAGCCTTTATTTCTAAGGGTAGAAGGTATACAGGGAACCTACAAAATAACAGAACCTCTAACAGCTACATTTTCTACTGCTTACTTCTCAAAACATAGTCACACACTAACACAGAGATAATGGAGAATCTGTCCTTCTTCTCGACCCCTAGAAAGGAAGTCACCTGAAAGCAAACAACCAATCTGTATCACAATAGAAGCTACTTTTCCGGGGCTAATTCCCCATTGGCTCAGTGCAAGGTATCCCTTCCAGGTCAGCCTAAACAATAGCAATATAAGGTAAACAAGTTAACCCTATAATGCCTGGATTATCAGACCTCGTAAACAGATACATTTCCAACAAATATTAGCTCATGCCACTTTTTGGTTAGGAGAATGCGGCCCCCCCAAGTCAAACTGCTGGGGAAGCATTACTGTATCCAGGCTAAAAGCCACACATTTGCGCCTCATTTCTAAAATGGCAAGGCTGGGAGAAATGCAAGCAAAGGACAGACAACCACTCGGGTTCGTCTACGCTCACAGGGGGCATCTGTGACGTCCCAGCTGGCTTCTGTCACTGACCGATAACCGCCACCTGGACGACGACTGCCCAAGTTTAAGACTTGTGATAACATACCTTCACGATGGCAAATCCCAGAACCACAAGCATCGCGTAGCTCAGAACACTCTGTATCGCAAATACCATTTTGTCTCCACAGCCCTGCAAGGAGATGGGGGGGGGGGAGATGAAGACGGGTCGCCGTGTTAGTCTGTCCGTAGCAGTAGAAAAGAGCAAGAGTCCAGTAGCACCGTAAAGACTAACAAAATTTGTGGCAGGGTAGGACCTAGAAGTGAGTCACTGCTGCTCACTTCTTTAGATACGGAGGGGAAAAGGCTGTCGTTATTCACAGAGTATGGCCCTCGCCTGAAGACAAAACTTTTTTTTAATAACCCTCGGACTGGTTGCAGAGTCGTCGTTTCTAAGGCTTAGCGGGCCAAGGGGAACACACTTTCTGAGTTGCGTAGGCAAAATAGCCTCATCGTAAGCCTGCTGAATTCCCAAACTATCGCTGCTTCGTTTTAATTAGACACCGTTAACACTGAAAGGGGTGAAAGGGGTCAGTGGCATTTCTTCAAGGGATGAAATAAGGGAAATGTGCCGCTGGCGGTGAAGGGGAGGAGGAGTAAGAAAGAAGGCAGAATGGGGCCAGGAAGGGGGTGAGTTGTCATCTCCAGGTACTGGAATTCCAGGTGTGGGTTGCCAATTTCAGGTAGGGAAATTCCTGGACATTTTGGGGCGGAGCAGCATTTGGGGACAAGGAGGGGAAGGGATGCTCAGCTCAGGAGGGGTGGGTTATGTGGAGGTCCGCCCTCCAAAGCTGTCATCTTCTCCAGGGGAACTGATCTCTGCGGCTCGGAGATCAGTCGGGAGAATGCTAGGCCTCACCTGGAGACGGGCAAACCTAGTGGGTAAGTGACTAGGGGGGCAAGGAAGTGGGTGGGAGGCAGGCTGAAGAGAGGTTTGTAGATAGTGGGCTGGGAAACCTGATTGTACAACTCGGAGGCCCATAAGGGTCTGTGGGGGGGGGGAGAAATAAACCAATAATATAACCCACCTCCACCCTAGGGTTGCCAGGCTTGGGTTGGGAAATTGCTGAAGAAGAAGAGACGTGATGGGATTTATACCCTGCCCCTCACTCGGAGTCTCAGAGCGACTTACAGACTCCTTTCCCTTCCCCTCCCCACAACAGACACCCTGTGAGGTAAAAGAAGAAGAAGATGGGATTTATACCCCACCCTTCACTCCCCAAGGGAGTCTCAGAGTGGCTTACAAACTCCTTTCCCTTCCCCTCCCCACAACAGGCACCCTGTGAGGTAAAAGAAGAAGAGGAGATTGGATTTATACCCCGCCCTTCTCTACCCAAGGGTGTCTCAGAGCGACTTACAGACTCCTTTCCCTTCCCCTCCCCACAACAGACACCCTGTGAGGTAGGTGGGGCTGAGAGAGCTCTGACAGAAACTGCCCTTGAGAGAACAGCTCTGAGAGAACTAGGGCTTGCCCAAAGTCATCCTGCAGCTCCAAGTGGAGGAGTGGGGAACCAAACCCGGTTCTCCCAGATTAGAGTCCGCACACTTAACCACGACACCAAACTGACGTGAAAAGAGTTGGAGCTCGTGGGTCCATTCTTCTAACTAGCCCTGGTTTTCTCTAAAACAGGATAGACCTTTGTGTCAGCAGAAGTTTCCTCACGTCAGAGCAAAACGCTGCCATTAGAGGAACAAATCCATGGCTTCAGCCCCATATTTTCCTCCATACCTAGCGATCCCCCCTACATATGCGGAAACCCCGACTTTACCAATGTATAGTCCCATTTATCTGACTTCATGATAGGCCCTGAGGCTTGCTATTGGAAGGAAAAGGAGTGGGGCCCACGAGAACTCACAAGGGTGGGGAACGCTGTTCTTCTGCCGCTAGCCCCTACTTCTTCTCCCCCTGCTCTCCCTTCTTCCCTATAGGGTAGCTGATGGGGCCAGTCAGTTCCCCACATTTGCCAGCCGACAGGGTAGCCTGGAACTGAAAACACCAATACCTTCCCTCAGCTGGCCAGCAATCATTACATGAGGTTCCCTAGCAGGCCACCAAAGGGTGGCTGAGATCTTCCAACACAGTGTTGTCAGGTCTTGGTCAGTTTTTGTGTGTGCGTGAGTTGTGATGTATATGCTTATACAGGCATTGGTTCTGTGGTGTGCCCCCCCCTCCCGATTTTTAATGGGATTTTAGATTTTTCTGCATCTACCTCTTTCTCCCAATGGCCTACAAGTGTGGATGTTTTGATCCACACACTGGGGGCCAAACAGGGAATTAGAGCTATATCCAAGGCGTGACAAAATTAATCAAGAAGCAGAATTCTGCCCATCTTTGGTGAGAGCCAGTTTGGTGTAGTGGTTTAGGAGCGCGGACTCTAATCTGGGAGAACCCGGTTTGATTCCCCACTCCTCCACATGCAGCTGCTGGTGTGACTTTGGGTCAGTCATAAATTCTCTCAGAGCTGTTCTCTCAAGGGCAGTTCTCAAAGGAGCTCTCTCAGCCCCACCTACCTCACAGGGTGTTTGTTGTGGGGACGGGAAGGGAAAGGAGTTTGTAAGCTGCTCTGAGACTTTGAGTGAAGGGTGGGGTATAAATCCAATTTCTTCTTCTTAAGGGGCTAGCTCACTGTTATGAAGATATATTTTCCTGAGATGCTATGCCCTTACCTCGGTGTTGAGATACTGCGGCTCGCTCAACCGTCCTGTGCAGTTCTTACCAATCTCTTGCTTGCAGCAGCTCATAGGTACGCTGTGGTTGCCGGTGGTATTGTACCAGAGGCTGCCATTCCAGTCCGTATAGTTGTTGACTCCACAGCACTCAAGCTTTAAGGAAAGAATGGATGGAAGCAAAGAGCAGAGGTCAAGTTCCTGCCACTTGAGAAATGATAACATCGTTTGCGCAAAGATTTTAAAACACTGGCTCTCTTTAGAAATATTCCAGATGTCAGTTGTCTCCTGAAAATCAGGTTATCCAAGGTTGTGGCCACACTCATGAATTCTCCCCCATTCCCTGCATATGTGCCACATAGTTGAAAATTCCCAGAAGCCTTCACACTCCTGTATGAAGTCCAGGTTTGGGCACCTGGTCAAAATGGAACTCGTTGCTCACCCACAAAACCCAGATTCAAAACCAGCACTGAACCACAGGGGTTGGGGTTACAGATAAAGCTACAAAGGCTCTGTTTTCACAGGCCCCGTTCAGGCAGCCTTCATAATCCGTTTTAGTAGCAGGTTGCTAATGGATTTCTTGTCTCCGTTCAGACACAACCATTTTAGCAACTGGCTGCTAACGGATTTTATTTACCTGTCCATGCAAAGCCGCTTGCATCCCATTTGCAAAACAGGGCTGAGCCGCTTTTGAGGGAGACTGCTTTCTTTTCCGTTTTCACCTCTTTGTTGCACTTCGGAATCGCTGTGGCGTGCTGCTTTAAATGTCCGTAGCGCTTCCTCCAATGCCGCCTTCCCCTCACCCTTTTCCGCCATGCGATCTTCCTCTTTTCCCTTCCCCCCTTGAACATTCTAAGTGGAGAACTACAGTGGTAAACTAGGGGTGTCAAACATAAGGCCCGGGGGCCGGGACTGGCCCATCCAGGGCTATTATGTGGCCCGTGAGCAACTGAAGAAGAGAAGAAGAGATTGGATTTATACCCCGCTCTTCACTACCCAAGGGAGTCTCAGAGCAGCTTACAAACTCCTTTCCCTTCCCTCTCCCCACCACAGACACCCTGTGAGGTGGGTGGGGCTGAGAGAGCTCTGACAGAAATGGCTCTTTTTCAAGAACAGCTGTGCCAGAACTACGGCTTGCCCAAGGTCATCCAGCCAGGTGCAAGTGGAGGAGTGGGGAATCAAACCCGGTTCTCCCAGATTCGAGTCTGCGCACTTAACCACTACATCAAACTGGTGCAAGGGGGGGAACAGGAGGCTGCTGGGGGGTGGAGCCACTCCAACTGTGGCTTCAGGACGGTGGGACAACCTCGTCTGCAGCAGTCAAGCAGAACCCCTTCACTTCAGGGACTGGTAAGTTGGGAGCCACTGCAGCTGCATTCATACCCCTCCACTCAGCCTGCAGCTCCAGGGATGCTGTCCTGGATAGCCGCAGGGATCAGCATTTGCACATGGGGGGGAGGTGTGTGGAGGCGATCCTCTATTGGGGAACGGGAGCGTCTGCCCAGCGCTGCATTGCTGGCTCTCCAGTCTGCCCATGTGAGTTTTCTACGGCTGCCAGGTCCTACCTAGCTGCTGCCGGGGGGCCTCCCGATCTTTCCTGTAGCTCTTCTGGCGTGCGTGAAGCGCTTGCACCACGATGACGTCACCTGGAAGTGACATCATCACGTTTCCAATGTTGGGGGCGAAGCTCTGGGTTTGGGGCAAAGCTCTATGGTTTGGGGCCTCAAAACAGTAGAGTTTTGCCCGAAACCTAGAGCTTCGCCCCCATCGTAAGAAACACAACGACGTCACTCCCGAGTAATGCCATCGTGTTGGCACCAGTGGTGCTGGGAGGGGACATCTCAGGGGTGGGGCTTCCAGTGCTGGCCAGCTGGGCTGCAGCAGATTGGGGGCCCGGAAATTGGGGGATCTCCTGGCCCCACCGGGGGAAATGGCAACCCTAGGGTTTTCCTTTGCACCCCCCTCCCAGCTCATGGAGACTTGCAGTGAGGACACACCAACTCAGGGTTTACCAGTTGCTGTTCTTTATACAGTTTATATCTCTGGTACCCGGCATTACGTTTTATGGCACACATGGCCCAGCCTGACAGATCCGGCCCTCGTAACAAATGAGTTCGACACCCCTGCACTGGACCAATATAGCACTCCAGTGTTACAGCAGCACCACTGAGATGCCTTGACTCCATTGAGAGGCTATATTGCTATAGCACTCAACCTAGAGAATAAATAGTTCCGCAAATATGAATTTGCTGCTTGATCTGACCGTCGTGGCTCCAATTTTTCTCCCCTATATTTGTTTTCTAATAATTAATGATTGCTGCACAATCTTTCTCGCCCTTTTTTTTTTTTTTTTTTTGATGGGGGGACGTTTCGGATTGCGGTGGCTCAGAGGTTAAGATGCTAAGCTGCAGACCGGAAGGTTGGTAGCTCAGCAGCACAAGACCTGAGTGCCACGTGACGGAGTGAGCTCCCATCTCTAGTTCCAGCTCCTGCCAACCTAGCAGTTCGAAAGCAAGAAAGTGCAAGTAGATAAACAGGTACCGCTTCGGTGGGAAGGTAACAGCATTCCATGTGCCTTGGTGTTTAGTCATGCCGGCCCCATGACCATGGAAACGTCTTTGGACAGCGCTGGCTCCTCGGCTTGGAAATGGAGATGAGCACTGCCCCCTAGAGTCGGATTCGACTGGCTTTCGAGCAAGGGGAACCTTTACCCTTAACCTTATTTACACCCTATCTTTCTAAGAGTTATCTTGCCAGCACAGGCAACTAGTGACCATGATTCTAAAACGTCCCACATTCTCTTACCTCCTTCTGTAAATAGTCTATGGCATGAGACTCGGAATTTATCCCATCGTACTGCTGGAAAACGTGCTGCAACGGTTCCCGGAAATCACTTCCAACCTGTAGGAAGAAAGATCGTCCGTTTTATGGGTCGGCCTCCAAACGGAGCATCTCATTTCCCAGCAAAATTAAGCCTCCGGCTTGGGAGGCACACGGCGTTCTCTTGCGCTCCTCTCCATTCTGACACCACCTTCCAACCCCAAGAAAGATCATATCTGGGGCTCACAGAACCAACACAGGGGAACACTGAGGTGGTCGGGGGGGTGGCTGGAAGGAGGAGGGGAAAGGGCACGAAGTCGCCCCTGGGCCTCAGTGGAGCGGCGCTTGTGGAAGAGGGAACGCCAGCGAATCCAATCCTTCATCCGTGTTCACGCCAGCCTCTCCCCGCGGAGTTCTGGCTACCCCCATAAATGATCTTTCCTCGTGTTCAGAATGGGTTTCCAAAATGGGAGAGAAGCCAGGGGAAACTGTGCTGCACGGGAGGGTTACCAAACTCCAGGTGGGGACTGGCGATCTCCTAGAATTACAAGTGCTCTCCAAACTAATTATTTATTAGAATTACACTCAGGGCTTTTTTTGTAGAAAAAGCCCAGCAGGAACTCATTAGAATAACAAGGCCACACCCAACAGCAGAAACCAATTAGCATATTAGGCCATACCCAACAGCACCGCTTATTAGCATATTAGGCCACACTACATGCCTACCTTGGCTTGCCCGGGCGCCCCGCAGCTGCAAGGAGCCCGGGCAAGCCGGCCTTTAGACAGGCTGGGGAAGGGACGGGGAGGCACTTAAATGTATCCCCCATTCTTCCAGGACCCCCCTGGTCTGCCCGCCTCAGAGTCGCCAGGGGGGGTGTCGGTCTCCAGGCCTTCCCATTGTAACCACGCACGCAGAGGTTTTGGCTGTAGTGGGCGTGGCCAACTCTGAAGCCAGCCGGAACTCCGTTCCTGTGCGTTCCTGCCCAAAAGTAGCCCTGATTACACTTATTATTTATGCCACTTCTCCTGGAGAAAATGGCTGCTTTGGAAAATGGGCGGCATGGCACTGTACCCTACCGAGATCCCCCCCTCCCTAACCCCCCCCCCAGGCAGTGTTCCCTCTAAGCTGAGTTCATGTGAGCTAACTCACAGTTTTATAGCCTCCGGCTCACACACTTTGTTTCTCAGCTCAGGAAGGATGGCTCCAAAGCAAACTGATTTATGCAGTGGCCCAACTGCTGGCTCACAGCTTTAACGCCAGCAACTCATAGAGTTGGATTTTTGCTCACAAGACTCCACAGCTTAGAGGGAGCATTGCCCCCAGGTATTTCTGAATCCGGAGCTGGCGACTCTATTGCATACAGAGAAGTGTGGATGCAGGACACTGCTTTCATGAGAAACATTTAACCCCAAAGCACTCACAGTTGTGAACAGTTTCTTCCTCTGTAGACCGAGAACGTTCTAAGAAGTTGCATGTGTAAGCTAAAAGGCTGTCTCTTGATTGCCCGTTAAATCGTGAGCTTTAATTACGCGTGCACGTTATTGCGCATTAACAGATGCAACAGATTCAAATGATATTGCATCCTGCCGCAAGGCCTGCAGAAATATCTAAACCAAGCCTCTCTGCAGCAATAGACCTGGACAATGCTGGATGATTAAATCGTGGTCAATTAAATCATGAGGTTTAATTAAGTATTGTGCAGGGCAGGGCGTTTTGCACAGATTTCCTATTCGGATAGGCTCTGTTCCATTGGGTACGATCGAGACTTTGGCTCATTATTATTGTTTTGTCCTCAATGGACCGCTTTTCGATCCTATTGGATATTTCCCATTCTGCTTACACATCATCTCCCACTGGAGCCATGGGCGATTTCTGATTCACAGGCAGACGGTGATCCGGAAATAACTCTTTCGGAAGCGAAATATCTGGCAATCATAATCTCGTCGAAATGCCAAGATTAGTCTTAAACTAGTTATTCAGGAGAAATTTTATGTTGCTATCCGCATTCAGAATTCGTAGCATCTTTGATTTTTCTTTAATACCTAAATGTCGAATCTTAATCAACAAGGCTTTATCATTTATCTCTCTTGTAAGACTTTTACCTTTTACTTTTGTAAACCTTGTAGCTTAACGTATTGCTATTGGGTGACTGTACATTATATTTGATTTTAACCATGTTTAATTATGCTCTAGACCTAAGGACATCTAAACTGAATAAACTGATGATGATGAATTAAGCATATGGGTTATTGCGCATTAATGGGTACAACAGATTCTAAAGTTATTGGGCCCTCCTGCACTGCCTGGAGAGGGATCCAAACTCAGCCTCTGCAACAATAGACCTGGGCACCATCACCCCTGAGCTTTTTTGGTGAACTGGCACCTTTCTCCTTGGGCTTATGCCAGCCCCGCACATGAACAAGAGTTCTTAAGGAAAAGATGATGCATGTATGTGTCTTCATTTCAGGATGTCGCATGTACGTGTCACAACGGGTGCTCTTTCTGAATTTCTTTTTAATACAAGTCCGGAGAAAGATATCCACCTACCTTTGATCTATAAATGAATCCGAGGACAAAAGCCGACACCTCTGCAATGAAGATCAGCAGGATAATGAACAAGAACTGAAAAGGAGGAAACAAGAGACAGCTCAGAAAACCTGGACATAAAAGCTTGAACCCTTCTAGACTTAAGAACATAAGAGATGCCATGTTTTATCACGCCAATGGCCCATCCAGTCCAACACTCTGTGCCACACAGCGGCCAAAGCCCAGGTGCCAACAGGAAGTCCACTAGTGGGGCCAGAACTCCAGAAACCCTCCCACTGTTGCCCCTCAAGCATCAAGAATACAGACTTGTACATGATGGAAGGAAAGGGGACTGTGTCTCACAGAAAACCCATCTAGATATTGGACTGTACCATTTAACACTACGCACTACTGATGATTTGGCTGGTCTGGGGCTGGATTTTTGCTCCTTCAAGGCACATTCTCACTCATGGCTTCTATCCAGCCTATCGCCTGGGTCAGCCTATGGTACACGAGGAGTTCATAGAATCACAGAGTTGGAAGGGGCCATACAGACCAACTAGTCCAACCCCCTGCCCAATGCAGGACCAGCCTAAAGCATCTCTGACAAATTTTCCTCCAGCCTCTTCTTGAAAGCTGCCAGTGAAGGGGAGCTCACCACCTCCCTAGGCAGCTGATTCCACCTTTGAACCACTCTGACCGTGAAAACGTTTTTCCTAATATCCAGCGGATGCCTTTCTGCATGTAACTTAAACCCGTTGCTTCGGGTCCTCTCCTCTGCTGCCAACTGGAACAGCTCCTTGCCCTCCCCCAAATGACAGCCTTTCAAATATTTAAAGAGAGCAATCATGTCCCCCCTCAATCTCTTCTTCTCCAGACTCAACATTCCCAAGGCCCTCAGCCTTTCCTCGTAGGGCTTAGTCTCCAGACCCCTGATCATCCTTGTTGCTCTCTTCTGCACCCTCTTGATTTTGCCCACATCCTTTTTGAAGTGAGGCCTCCAGAACTGCACACAGTACTCCAAGTGTGGCCTGACCAAGGCAGTATACAGAGGGGCTATGACCTCCTGCGATTTCGATGCTATGGCCCTTTTAATACAACCCAAGACTGAATTTGCCATTTTTGCCACCGCATCACACTGACTGCTCATATTTAGTTTGCAGTCCACTCTTACCTCAAAGTCTCTTTTGCATACACTACTCCCCAGAAACGTATCCCACATCCAGTATTTGTGCTTGGCATTTTTGTGGCCCAGATGTAATACTGTGCATTGATCTTTGTTGGATTGCATCCTGTTCGCAACTGCCCACTTCTCCAGAGTATTCAGGTCTTGTTGAATTTTAACTTGATCTTCTTGGGTGTTTGCTACTCTTCCCAATTGGGTATCATCGGCAAATTTAACGAGTAGCCCTTCTACCTCTTCATCCAGATCATTGATAAAAATATTGAAAAGTACCGGGCCCAAAACCAGGCCCTGCGGCACCCCGTTGGACACCTCCCAGTTTGGTGTAGTGGTTAAGTGTGCGGACTCTAATCTGGGAGAACCGGGTTTGATTCCCCACTCCTCCACTTGCACCTACTGATGTTACCTTGGGTCAGTCACAAGCTCTGGCACAGCTGTCCTTGAAAAAGAGCAGTTTGTGTCAGAGTTCTCTCAGCCCCACCCACCTCACAGGGTGTCTGTTGAAGGGAAAGGAGTTTGTAAGCCGCTCTGAGACACCTTTGGGTAGTGAAGGGCGGGGTATAAATCTAATCTCCTCCTCCTCCCTCCAATCTGATGAAACGCCATTGACCACCACTCTTTAGGTGCGGTCCTCTAACCAGTTCCCTATCCACCGAACTGTCCTATAGTCCAGTCCACAGTCTTCCAGTTTGCTCATCAGAATGTCATGGGGAACCTTATCGAAAGCTTTACTGAAATCCAGGTAAATCACATCAACAAGAGCTCCCACGATCCAGTAAGCTCATCACACGATCAAAGGAGGAAACCAGGTTGGTCTGACAAGATCTTTTGGGGACAAAACCTTGCTGACTTCCCCGGATCACTAAGTGGTCCTTCAGAGGCTTACAGATCGATCCCTTTAAAATCTGCTCTAATATCTTCCCAGCAACAGAAGTCAGACTGACTGGCCTGTAGTTTCCTGGGTCATCCTTCTTCCCTTTCTTAAAGATTGGGATAACATTTGCTCTTCCCCAATCTTGTGGCACACCCCCAGTCCTCCAGGAGGCCTTGAAGATGATGGACAGAGGCTCTGCAAGTTCATTCGCTCCTCTTCCGCAAATAAGTCTTCACCAAGGATTCCTCATCTTCCTGACTACACTGATGCTACATTAAGAGGCCTTCTCAGTCTCTCAAAATGCTACGAGCCACGTAGGGGCAAAAGTCAGGTCTAGGACAGCACTCGATAACTGGTTCCCCTTCTTCTGGTAGAAGAACATGGAGTTCACTCAGATCACAAAACGTTGGGGAACAGGCGTGCATGAGGTCTTTTAGCCTGTTCTGGACCCTCAGGGGTTTCAGCTAACAGACAAGGCCCAGGGACCAAGGGACTTCTATAGGGGACAGGGTTGGGGGAGCCAATGAAGTTAGAGCAGGGAGCCAATGACGTTAGAGCAGGGATCCGACGGCGCTCCACGACCTCACTCCTTGCAGCAGTCGCTATGTGGCATGGTCCACCTCCCGCGGCAGCCATTTCCTAGTCACGCCCACCACCCTCTGTCACAATTCCAAAGATGCCTACGGGCTCGGAAAGGTTGGGGACACCTGGGTTACAGTCAGGGCTCTTTTTGTAGAAAAAGCCCAGCAGGAACTCATTAGCATGATAGGCCATACCCAACAGCAGAAACTCATTAGCATATTAGGCCACACCCCTGACAGCACAGCTCATTAGCGCATTAGGCCGCACCCCCATGTTGCCAGAAGTGTGGTTATCCAGCCACACCCACCTTTTGCTCCTTATTCTGTTTACCTTGTCTGTTGTCAAAACCCAGGGCCTTTTTTTGTAGCAGGAACTCCTTTGCATGTTAGGCCACACACCCCTAATGTAGCCAATCCTAATGAGTGTCTGTTGTTGGGTGTGGCCTATTATGCTAATGAGTTCCAGCTGGGCGTGGCCAACTTGGGAGCCAGCCAGAACTCTGTTCCTGTGTGTTCCTGCCCAAAAATAGCCCTGGTTACAGTGTTGGACTAGGATCAGGGTTCGAATCCTCAGCTGCCACAAAATGTACTGGGTGAATATGGGCCCGCCCTTCCCCCTCAGCCTAACCCACCTTAGATCGCCTGGTGTAGCCGTTCCACAGGAGCCGTGTGCCGTTGTCAGCCTCCCAGGGGTTCGACTGGGAAGGGGAGGAGGGCTCTGCAGCAGGTCTTTCCCCCTCCTCCCCCTCCTCAGTCTTCTGCTCTTTAGCCTGGGTATCCCTTTCCTTCTCTGCGAGGCCTTCGACACACAGCAGGGGACCAGTCTTCAGGGCAAGGGCGTGAGGGCTTAAACAGACCCTGGCGAGCATCCCGCTCACACCTCCTCCTCCCAGCTGCATGGGAGGTTTGCTTGGCCCACCCTCCCCTTGCACTGGGTGACCAACCCTGCCCACAGACTGTTGCATCAGTGGCCGGTTGCCCCGGCAACGGCCTGGCTCAAGTAGGGCAGGTTGTGGTGCAGGCCGTCTCAGGCCCTCGCCCAGTAGTAGTCATGCCATTAAAAAAGTCGGCCGCCAATGTGGAATGTTGCGCATCTTGGTGATTTTATGCAGATTATTAGAGCACCGATTTTATTAGGTATGTAATATTGTTTCCTGCCAACCTAGCAGTTCGAAAGCAAGAAATTGCAAGTAGATAAATAGGGACCACTTCGGTGGGGAGGTAACCGCGTTCCGTGCGCCTTGGTGTTTAGTCATGCCGGCCACATGACCACGGAAACGTCTTCGGACAGCGCTGGCTCTTCGGCTTTGAAACGGAGATGAGCACCGCAACCCTAGAGTCGGATTCGACTGGCTTTCGAGCGAGGGAACCTTTACCTTTAATATTGTTTTACTGTTTTAAATTTTAAATTCGGCATTGCCGCTTGTTAGCCACCCTGAGCCGTTGGGTAGGGCGGGATATAAATCCCAAAATAAATAAATAAATAAAATAAATAAATAGGGCATTGTGAGGGTAAAATGGAGGAGGGGAGAATCAGGCACACTGCATGGAGCTCCTTGGAAGGAGGATAAAAATACCACTAAAATATAACCAGGGCCAGTCTGGTGTAGTGGTGAGGAGCGCGGACTCTAATCTGGAGAACCGGGTTTGATTCCCGACTCCTCCCCATGCAGCTGCTGGTGTGACCTTGGGTCAGTCACAGTTCTCTCAGAGCTGTTCTCTCAAGGGCAGTTCTCGGGAGAGCTCTCTCGGCCCCACCTCCCTCACAGGGTGTGTGTAGTGGGGGGGGAAGGGAAAGGGATCGTAAGCCACTCTTGAGACTCCTTTGGGTAGTGAAGGCCGGGTTATACATCCAGTCTCCTCTCCACTAAATTGAGGGGGGGGGGTCTGTTCTAGGCCCTTGCTGAAAGAAACATACATAGGGTTGCCAGCCTCCAGGTGGGGTCTGGAGATCTCCCGGCATTACAACTCATCTCCAGTTGACAGAGATCAGTTCCCTTGGAGAAAATGGCTGCTTTGGATTTGGAAGGTGGACTCCATGGTATTATGCTCTGCTGACGTCCCTCCCCAGACCCCAAACCCCTTCCCAGGCTCCAACCCCAAATATCCAGTCATTTCTCAAACCACCGTTGGCAACCCTGATAATACCTGAAAGATTTAGGATTCACACCAAGCCTCTCTCCGCCCCAGCTCCGCCCTTTCCCATTCCTAGGGTTGCCAGCTTTGGGTAGGGAACTTCCTGGAGATTTGGGGAGGTGAAGCCCGGGGAGGATGGGATTTGGGGAGGGGAGGGTGGCCTCATCAGGGTATGTGGCCACAGAATCCCCCCTCCAAAGCAGCCGTGTTCTCCAGGGGAACGGATAGCTATTATTGTCTGGAGATCAGCTGGAATTCTGGGAGACCACCAGCAGTGTTCCCCCTCAGCTGAGTTAGTGTGAGCTAGCTCACAGTTTTTTAG